CCGCTTTGCCTGTTGACGAGCTGGAAAGCGAATTCGCTCTCGTTATTTCTGACTGAACTACGCGAAGATCTCTGGCGGTTCTGACACTCACCACAGACACACCGAACACGATAATAAATAGCAAACCTCCGACACCTATCACTATCACTGCGATCGCCCACTGAGGTATCAGTCTGTCATCCTTCTCGATGTACTGCGGCATGTTCACTTTAGGTATGACTGAAGGAAAGTAATACATGTATAATGAACAATTAGCATTTAAAAAAAGACAAGCTCTTGATGACGTACCTACGAAATCGGTGTACTTAGGATCGATAGTGAACATCCCCATCCTTAATGGGCCTTTCATGCTCGTTTCATTCCACCGATTGGCGTTGTACGTTCTGAGCGAGTCGTGGAAAATCACTTTAAGTTCCTGCGTGTTCACTTTCTGCTGTACATTGGCTAGCTCGACGAAGTAGTCTACTAGGACGCTACCTTGACTGAAAACGAATCATTACGCTTATAAAATCGACGAAAGTATGATTTTTAATGAAAAGCATACTTTTACCACTTACACAGGTAACGTGTTATGATTAGATACTTTTGATTGTCTTACCTGAAAGAGTCGATCCTTATGTTTTTGAACCAATTCATTAAAACGCTGGATTTCGAGAATATAAAGTTCATCTGAAAAAAATGACATAATTAAAGCACGTTTTTCGTAGATAGAAGCTCAACGAAGGACGTTACCTCTCGTTCCACGTGATTCGCAAGTTCCTGCCACTCGCGAGTGTTCCGATCGAACAGTTCCGGCACCCACGTCGCGTTCCCGATGATTCGTATCGTGCCGGCGACCTCGCACTCGTCGTCGCACACGCCGGGGGTTGTCGGCCTCGGTGTCGTCGTCGTCGTCGACGTCGACGACGTGCTCGAGATCTCGTTCGTACTGGGAATAAGCGATATGTTCGCCGACGATACAGTGGCCGTGCGCGCTGCTTCCAGTAGCTTCTCGATGGAGATCGGTGTGGTGGACGGAGTTGGCCATCCGGTGAATTCCGTAGTAGCTCTGAAATTTGTCAGCACGATTATCATCGGACGCTATTCTGTTAAATTTGTAGCGTTAAATTTAACTCAATGAGTCACTGCTTCTACTCGACATGTCATTAATTTAATTAAACAATGGAGTACAAAGAAACCATAAAATGGACTGGATAAAAATATAGTTGTTTTTTCAACTACAATGTGTGTTAAAGTGATAAATTTTACTACACATGTTAGTTAAAAATAATATTGAGTAGGAGCAGTGGCGACTACTCATTGAGTCAAATTTAACAGCGTATTTTGCGCCACTGTGATTCGTCAGCAACTAAAAATTGTGGCTCGTAATGAATTAACAAAGACGTTTCTAAACGTTTAATATCTGAAGAGATTACTAAGAGTGGACTTACCGTGTCGGCCATCCCTTTTGTATTTTTGGCGTCACCGCGCCTGGAGCCTCTCCACGTGGAGTCTGCGGAGTAGTTATTTTGTGAATCGGCTTGCGACCGCCTGGTCTGCTGGGAAACACGATCTTCAAGCTGCCGGCTTTCTTCGTGGTGGACGTCTCTGCATCAATCCGTTCCGTGACCGTCCCCTTCTGCTCGCTGTTCGCGTCGCCAGTAGCTTTATTGTCCGGGACAAGGTCCTTCTTCCTTTGATCGTAATCCTTGGGTAACAAAGCGGAGATATCGAGTTTGGAGGACGCGAAGAGATCCTGGATAGACGAGGCGATCTTTTCTGGAGAAACACCTGTACTTTTCGCTGTTGTTGCTGTTGTTGTTGTTGTCGTCGGTGTCGTTGTCGTCGTCGTAGTATCCTTTGACTTGGATTCTTCTTCAGCCTTCTTTTTGTCATAGCCAGGCGGCAAGAGTGACGAAATGTCGAACTTGGATTTCGCGAGGATTTCGCTGAGGAGGGAACTCTCCGTGACAGTTGCATCTTCTTTTTTCAGCTTGAATCCTGGCGGTAGGAATGCGCTAATATCTTGGACGACAGTACTGGCTTTAGGTTTCGTGCGTGGCGTCGTCGATGTGGTTTTTATCTCCGCTGCTTCCGTGGACGTCGTTGATTTCGAAGAAGGCCACCTGAAAAAAAAATTATAACTCACATCGGCAACCTTTAACTGCCAATTGAATTGTCGTAGTTGCTGACAACTCAGATATCCATACGTGAATTAAACCCATTTTTTAATTGCCAATTATTACTTACAGGGGAAGATATAGGTCCGTAGGCTGGGATTTGGCTGAATTTTAAATATGTTGTTATCCCCCCAATAATAAACGGTGCAGTAACTCTTGCCAACGGGCATTAGTTTAGAAATTAAATTATTTTTCAATGAGCCACGTGTGAAATCTATCGAATCGATAACACGTTTTTTCAATTTAGCCGCGTGGACGGGCCAGTAAGTCGAGCGACTAGAATGCTGGAAGTCTCGAGTTCGAGATCGGCTTTTTTCCATTTATTTTATGGTAATATATTTTTTGTATATATATATTAATGCTATATTAATCCTAAACAAATTTTTATTTCACGAATTTGCATATTATCTGTGGAAAGGGTCATTTTTATTTAACAAAACATAATATAATTCACCAAGAAAAAGTTTTATTAATATTATATGATGTGACACATAATATGTATTCCAAATAACGTTACTTCGGATTGCGAAGACATGTCTGTCATGGAGTGTGTCATATTAATAAAACTTATTTCTTAGTGAATTATATTAT